TTAGGGTGGCTGCAGCTCCCCCATAGCCCCATTCCTGTAGGCTCCTGCAGTGAGGAAGGGAGTGGGGCTGGGGCTGGAGAAGGGGCAGGTGCTGCCCAGTTGGAACAGAGCACAGAACAGAGCCACAAGTGGCTCATGTAGGGGGTGGCGGCTCCTTCACCTGCATGCACCCCAGGAGGGCACGCAGGGCTGGGCAGGCTGTGGGTCACTGCGGGCTGGGACTGGGGTAACGTGGGCTGTTCCCAGCAGGGGTGTTGGGCCGGGCTCTGCTAGTTGGCAGGGTGAATTTTGGGGTGGCTGCAGCCCCTCCCATAGGCCCGCCCCCAGTGCAGCCCAGCCCCCACTGGGAACAGCCTGGCACAGCCCCAGCCCCGCCCCACCCCACACAGATCTAGGGGCACCCCCCATGCCCTCCCAGGTGCGTGCAGCAGTGGGAGCAGCTGCCCCCCGGACACGCCACTCGCAGCTCTGTCCCGTGCTCCACCCTAGCTGGGCAGCCCCACTCCCTCCCTCACTGCGGGGGCCTATGGGAGAGGGGGCTATAGCCCCTCCATCATTCACGGTAGCCTCCCAGCCCTTCTCCCAGTGTTGCCGCTACCTGCCCTGAGTGCAGATCTGAGGACATGTCCCCCCATGCCCTCCCAGGGTGCACACAGGGGTGGGAGTGCTTGCTCCACACAGCTCAGTCCCACACCCTGTCCCGGCTGGGCAGCCCCTGCCCTCCCCCTGCTCCCTCCCCCAACGCTGTAGCCTCAGTCTTCCCCCTGCAGCAGCAGCCTGCACCAGTCTGTGCAGATCCAGGGTCACATGCCCTCCCAGAGTGCATGCAGCAGCAGGAGCTGCCCCCCTCCCCATGCTCCCTGGACAAGCTGCTCGCAGCTCCATCCCACCCCCCCTTAAAAACAAGAAAAAAATATAAAGGCATCCATGAGCTGAAACTGAGACGGAAGGGGTACACTTGTTTAAAAAGGTTGAAAACCCCTGATCTAGAGGATATGCTGATTCTTATCAGAGTGCAGCTTCATGATAAAGCTGAACTCTCCTTGCACCCTGCATCCACTTGGGGAAGGGCATTAATGTTGTCAGTTGCTTTTTCTTTTTGGTTCAAGTTTGCCCATAGTGATGTTGCAAGCAAATCAAACCTGGTGTGTTAAAAGCATGAGTCTACCATGGAATTGCAGCCCAGTGTTTTTTAAATACTTGTATTCATTCAGTTCAGTTAATATTCATGTTCTAGTCCCTGCAAGCTTAAAGAGCCAGGCATTTGTTTCTTTCTAACGTTTAGTTCAGATGGGAAAGTTTTAGTTTTATTTTACTACAGCCAAAATGAAAACAGTTGATTTTTTTTTTTATAGGTGAAACACCTAGTTTGAGAACACTCTGGCTTGGCAAAGGACCAGACATAGAAAATCAACGGTATAGCACATTTCTGGCATGCTTTCATCTTCAGGATATGGTGGAGGAGCTCAAGGCTCTGAAAGCACCTGTTGCAGCTGTCTGTTGCCTGTTGATGTACCTCTTGCTGCAGGTGAGGTGAATGGTTACTTTACATCCAGCACTTGCAGTTCATACTGCAGTTGACTTTCTGATAATCATTGCTAGTCAGGGCCTGTTTCTCTCTTGCTTGTTAGCCCAGACAGATGATGAGCTTGATAGTACAGTGTTATAAATTTTAATTTGTTATACTTGACCTGTGTTAGCTTATAGAAGAAAATACTGTATTTCCATAATAATGTCTTATTTCTCAAATGCCTGTGAACAGACCATCTGAACAGACCATCTGTATGGCCATAGTAGACCTTTTTGATCAGTTCTCATGACTTTTTCACACCTCAGCTCACCCTTTTTACAGGCTATAATTCATGGCTGCAGCTATATACATTAAACTTTTACTCACTGTAATAGTAAGTAATGTGAGCAGCCATGTAATTCTGGCATCAGTCTAAACTATCAACTACCAATGAACTAACTAAAGCAGTACAGATACCAGAGATGTTTACCCTGGTTTAATGCTTAACTAGGTATTAAATGGAGTGAATTATACTGATGCAAGTCACTTTACTTGGATATAAATCCTGTAAAAAAACTATAACAGTTGTACATCAGTATAAATTATGCCAGCTCAGGCTGGATCCAGGGTGGGTACACTGATGCAGTCGTACCCTTGTTTGATTCTGGGTCCACCCAGAGTTGAAAACCAACTGCCTAGCAGTGGCAGCAACATTTCTACTGTCTCCCCCCCCAACAAGCCATTTTCAAAATCCTAGATCCATCCATGTGCCATGTTTTTTGTGTTGTTAGTTCTAGTCAGTTTCAGCTATCCTCATGTAGCCAGTTGCTCAAATGATTACCTGCACTCAAGTCACTTAGGTCCCACATGCTATAATTAGGGGTTTACTGAACTCAAGGGGGCTGGACAATTTCACAGGCAGATCCTGGGGCCAGCTGCCATTTTCATGGGCTCAGTGTAGAGGGGCGCCCCCCACAGCTCTGATTGGCCAAGGGGCCTCAGCAGTCCCGCCCCTCCCTGTAGATTGCCAGATGGCCTGAAACTTTGACTTAATTACCCTGATTAAGCCTGGGGAAGCCTTTAATCCACGTGTTATTAAGCATGGATTAATGGCTTTTCCAGGATTAATGAGGGTAATTAAGCTGTGGTTTCAGGGCATCCCCAAGCCAGGAGGCTGCCCAAGAAGCTGCAGTGGAGTTCTGGGCTGGCTGTGGCTGGCAGCTAGAAGGCTGCAAGTGGCTGTACCAGGATCCACTCTGGTACATGCTCTGTAAGTGCTCTGGTATGGGGTGCATGATAAGATCTTTCAGTGCCTCTCCAGCAAAACCAAGGAGGTGATTCTTCTACTCTACTCAGCACTGGTGAGACCACAGCTGGAGTACTACATCCAGTTCTGGGCACTGCACTTTAACAAGGACATAGACAAGTTTGACAGATTCCAAATAAGAGCCACTGTATGATAAGTGTCTTAAAAGGCATACGAGCAAAGGCTGAGGGATCTGGGACTCTTCAGCCTGAGGAAAAGAAGGCTGAGATGGGACCTGGTAGCAGTTTACCGCTGCACTAGGGGAGTACATCAAGGGCTCGATGAGCAACTGTTCAGTAGGCACCCAAGGGGAAAACCAGGAGTAAAGGCCACAAACTCCTGGAAGATTGATTCAGGCTCAACATTAGGAAAAACTTCTTCACAGTCAGGGTGTCCAGACTGTGGAATAAGCTCCCTCCAGAGGTGGTGCAATTGCCTACCCTGGAAATCTTCAAGAGGAGACTAGACAGTGACCTTGCTGGGGTTGCTGACCCCCCAGTTATCTTTCCTGCTTGGTGCAGGGGGCTGGACCCGATGATCTTCCAAGGTCCCTTCCGGTTTTACAATCTATTAATCTATAAATCCTGGTTTTCTCTGTTTAAAAACTGCAAATTCTCTGATAAAAAATGCAGCTTCTCTGCATAAAACACCACAAATCTGCATTTTCCATGATTAAAATGAAATGCCTATATATGTATGTATGTATGCATGTATACATGCATGTATATTTTATTGATATATTTACAATTTGGAAGCAGTTTGGAAGCCTTCCAGTGCCCTAATCACTGTAATAAAATAAATCTTAAATACCTATACATTTTGGCAGTTGATTTTGGATTTTTATCATGCAAAATCAGAGCTCCCGCTGCTCCCTTAGCTCACCCAGACATGGGTCCACAGCTGCAGCTGTCCCCCAACAGCTTTGTGGCACTGAGCAGCCCTGATATGCTGGTGCCCTGCCCATGCCATTGCCCCTTGCTCCCAGCCCTACTGGTGCCCCACACTCCACACCCACAGCCCCACAGCCCTGTTGGTGTCCCTCACTTCCCACCCACAGCCCCCTGCCCCCATGCAGCCCTGCCAGAGGGGGCCCCCAGCTGCCAGGACTATGGGGCCAGGGCCTTGAATCTACAGCCCCCTGCCACCCACAACAGCACATAAACCCCTGTTGCCACATGTGGCAGGCAGCAGCTGCTGCGGTGGAACAGAGTGCAAAGCTTGGCTGCCCCTCCCCAATGGCCAGCATAGCCGAAGCAGAGCCCATTGTGGAGACAGATGCAGGCTGTCTGCTGTGGGCTCAGGCTCTGCTGCCCTCCCCCCAGGGCCTCTGTAGCCCAGCAGGTGGGACCCGGTGTGGCAGGACAGAGTGGGGCTGGGTGGGGAAACTCGTTGCCAGCGCTGGGAACTTTTGCGCTGCTCTGGCGAGGTGCTCCCTGCCTCTTGGCAGCAGTGAAGAGTAGACCTCCACACTGCTACCCCCTCTACTGCCAGGTGAGCAGGGGGCACCTCGCCAGGGCAGCGCAGGACTCCCAGTGGCGGCATTGAGCTTGCCCACCCTGCTCTGCCCTGCCACATCGGGTCCTACCTGCTGGGCCACAGAGGGCCCAGGGTGAGGGCAGCAGGTGGGCAGCCCCAAGCCTGCAGCAGGCAGCCTGCCCCTGCCCCACGCACAGATCTGGGGTCAGGTGCTTCCCCTGGGAGTGCATGCATTGGTGAGGTGTCAGTTCCCACACCGCCCCCCTGGACGAGCTGTCCATAGCCTCATCCTGCTCCCTGCCAGGGCCTTGTGGCTGTGCATTCTGGCCCCAAGTCCCATGTACCACCCCAGGTGGGCAGTAGTCCCAGCCCTGCCCCACTTCCTCCCTCACTATGGGGGCCTCAGTTCCGTCATCACCCCCTCCCCTGCCAGACTTAAGTGTGGGGAGCTGCTCTCCAGGCTGCCTCGTGGCATGTACATGTGCACATGCACATGGTGCCCCCTGTTTATTGCCGTCCTTTTCTCTCCCCAACCCCTTGCAGGCTGGAACTCTGCCATCTTGTAAGGGGAAATGCACCATTTCCTGTGTTTTTTCTCCTTAAAATGAGAAAATCCAGGTTTTTCTCCTTAAAATGAAAAAATGTGGGTTTTACCATTTTTTTCCATGGCGTAGGAAGAAACCCAAAATAAAGCATTTTTCAGAAATTAATATTTTGACATGTTAGTTAGTTCATCTCAGGTTATCTGACTAGTTGTGAATAACCCAATGAAAGTAATATACAGGTTTCCCTCGTTATATGCTGTGCATGTGTTCCTGGAAAATGGCGCATAACTCAAATTCTCATAAAGGGAACCCACTTTAAAATGTAACAAATAAGGATAAGTTCCAAGACCTCAACTGTACTGACCCCCCAGGCCCATTTGTACCACTTTTACAGAACAATTTTGGTATTCACCAACAGCAGACAGTACACACAAGCACAGGGCACTATCATAATGGGGATGGCAACTACAGAAACACGTCACAGACAACGAGTGAGGGGCACAGATTCACACAGGAAACTGTATTTTAGTGTGTGTCACTCCCACAATGCACTGCACAAAGCAACTCACTGTGGGCTTCTGCCACACCAGTCGCATAAGAGCGAATTTACCTCACATGGAACAAATTTTTGGTATAAAAAGGGTCGTTGCATAAGAGCAAATTCGCGCATACGGAACCCACATAAAGCGAGGGAAACCTGTACGTACCAAAAAAGCCAAAATAAATTTTTTCAGCTCACTTATTAGCATAAGCAGAATTTTTATTAAAATAATTTTTCTGTAGTTGTTCTATAGTAGTTTTTTTCTTTGGCTATACATACTAGGGTTTGAGGGTTTAACAGTTGCTCCTTGCTTGCATTTTCGTACCTGCCTTGAAAATAAAAATAGAGCAGGGTAGAATAATGTTGGTAAGAATATTAGCAGATCTTACCAGCCAATCAGTTGTCAGTTTTTCTTTGCGAAGTTTAGCAGAGCTTTTATAGCATCTGATGGAGTAAAGTGTTTCCTACAAAAGCTTATGTCTTTCTGAACAAGTTAGTCTTCAAGGGCCCCCCCTGCCCTACCATCTGCCAGACCTTTCAGAGAGAGAAGTGCTCACAGTGAGGGATCAGCAGGTTATTTCTAATGCAGAATTTGCCAGATTTGTGATGCTGTCACTGATTTGGGGGTAGGGTAAGGTTAGGTTGGGAGGGATATTAAACTTTTTTTAATACCAGGTAAGAAAAGTAAGTGAAGTCCCTATGTTTCTTGTCTTCCTCAGTTCCTTTCCATTGATGACAAATTGAACCATTAAAAGAAAGGCAATGTCAAGTTATAGGACACATCCCACCTGTATTCCAACCTCCAAATGGCACATTTCCACTGACAATGCAGATTCTGTATCTTCATAAAAACCTCCAAGTAATAAGAAATCATACAGTGCCCACCATATTGACCTTCCTCACAGCGTAACTCAGAACCTATAACAATATCAACTGTATTATTACATACTCAGCCGTGACGTGTTTAGAAGTTAAGCGCATATCTTTTTTATGGCAGGAGTAGGAAGTCATAATCCTGTTAGAGCTGTGCTGCACAGAAGCTTAAGAAGCAGCACCACAGGGCCAGTAGCTGACGTGGATGCACAGAGCTCCTACAGAAATGGTCCTGTCCCTCTGTTGGATCACCAAGACCTGTGGATCTGGGAATCAGACATTTTGTCTCTCTGTAGGGGCAAGCTCCGCACTTCCCTGCTATCAGAAATATTTGAAGGAAAATGTTAGATGTATCTTGGTTTTCTCCCACTAGAGTTGCCCTTTTTTTTCCTGAGCGAGATGTGATTTTGTTTTTCCTCCATTTTTCTCCAAAACTTTAAATTCTCTCTCCTTCTGCTTCAGCCCCCAGGAAAAAAATGAAAGCACTCTAAATTAATATTATCTGAAGTAATAAAATATATTTTTTAATTGTTATAATTTTTAACAATGTAGCAACTTTTTGATAACTTTTAACTGATAGCTCAGTACAACACTTGAGTTAAGTCATACTAGCCATCATAACTGTGATCCACTCTAAGTGGTCTTCATTTGGAAGAGAGTTATTGTTGTAGTGTTAAGATATTTTATACCTCTGAAATAACATTATTGTTAGAACATGTTTGGTATTACATTTACTGTTAAATGCCCTGGTGCTAAGGAAAAAAGAGGGCAAACATGAAACTGAACTTTGTAGGGAGGGGGAAGGAAGTGGTGACTGGAAATAGTAAAAAGCTAGACATTTGGTGTTGCGAAAGTAAGTTCTTCATTTACAGTCCTTGTTGCTGGAATGTACTTACACAGTTAGTAGGGCAGAGATTAAAAAAAAAAAAAGCGTTACTTGTTTGCGCAATGATAGAGACCAATTTGCAAAAAGTTTTTTTTTCTTCCATAGCTCACAGCTAGTATTATTTCATCTCTGTTTCAGGTAGACAGCCTCTCTCTAGAGGATTTGAATGCATTTGTGGCTCAGACTCTGTGCCTGCAGGGGATGTCGGCTGCTCAGCTATCAGGTTTGCAGGTACAGACCTGACTGATTGACTAACGCAATGCTAATAACTCTAGGGTAAAAAGTGTGGTTCTCTTTTTGGGCATTCTTTTGCATTACGATATTTGAAGGGTTGGGAATTGAGAGTCAGGGTAATAACAGGCATATTGTTTTCTGTAATTTGTGCAGTTCACCTGTGTTCATGAATTATGCAGTGTGCTAAATTTAAAGGAGTTATTTCTAATGGTTAGAAACCCAGCAATAGGGAATCAGCAAATCTTAATTTTGTTCTTAATTGAGGCACTGATTGCTGATATTACCAAATGCAAATCACTTAACTCCTCTGTGGTTCACTTTACCCAACTACTAATCCAAATTTACTTCACATAACTCTTGCAGGGATTATGGTTAAATATCTGGCAAATACTTCTGAGATCTTTGGATGAAAGGTACTCTGATAAGTGCCAAGCAGTAGCACCAGAGTAGGCCTGCAACAAAGACTGAAATGTTTCTATACTAGCACCACTTTTCCAGTTGCTTATTGTTTTATTTTTTAAAAGTTCCTTTCAAACTTGTATTTATTCTTACACTGAACTTCTTGACTCTTTGTTTCAGAATGACTATACTGTTGACTAATGGAGGAGTTGGGAGTGAATGCATGTGGTCTGTTACAGCATTGGAGGTCTCTTTGTGGAGACTTTGAAAAAATCAGTTATTTTGAAGTATCCAAAGAGAAAAAACGCTTGGGTTTTTTTTCTTCATAGTGCAATCAGAAATAGTAAAATTTTCTACAGTGTGCTTTGAATTGGAAATTACAGTGTTTGGGCTCTTTCAGATCAGATAAATTGTGCTGTTTCATCTCGTGACATACAGAAAAGTATTGTTTTAATATGTAAAGGCAGTATGTTAATGCACATTTGTACATAACAAGAGTGCTCCATTCTTTTCAGAGGGCTATAAAGCATTTGGAAATGTAAACTGTACAAAGGTACTGCATAAAATAAGGTTCGGTTTCACCATACGTACTAAAACAGTGGTGCTCAACCTTTTGCCTTGGCAGGCCATAATGGGCAGTGCCTAGTCCATCCTTGGGCCAGATCTGGCTGGTGGTCCTGATCCAGTGTCTGGCAGGTATAGCAGGCACCATCTGGCCACACAGAGGCGAGCGGAGGACAGCCTGAACCTAACATAGCCCCACAGGTGAAAGGAGCTTGACCCAGCCCTGTGGCCTGGCTCTGACTAGCCCTGTAGAGCTTGGGGTTTGGGAATTTTGGCAGGAGCCAGTGTTGCTGTAGTAATGGTCACACTGCTCCAGCTGTTAAATTTCCAGACCTGTGGAAAGCCCAGAAGGCCAGATGTGATGGCTCTGCAGGCCAGAGGTTGAGCACTCCTGTACTGAAGTGCTAGCTTAGTTGTGAAGGCTTATTTAAGCGTCCAGTGCTGTGAAAATCCTCATTTGGGATGAAAATATACTGCTGTTTCTGAGCACAAGAGGACTCTGTTCAAGGTGCAGTAGAATCCTTTAGTCATGATTTCCTTATTTTTGTGATACGTGGACAAAACCTTCATGGTAATCGTAGTGAAAGAAGTGGTATCTGTTTGACTTAAGGGTTAACATTTGGAGTGGAGAATAAAAATATAAAGTAATTTAAATGCATGATGAGATGATGGATGTTTACAAAGTCAGCCTGAGATGTGGAAAAAGGAAATGTGAGAAAATGTATTAAATTAGATAAAGTACTGAGGTCAGTTTGAGGTACCAGTATGTTGCTGCTGTTGGTAGAACAGGAATGATGCTTGTGGGTAAAATTGCCTATATTTATAGGGGTGCCAAGAATCTTCATTAGGATTGGAGAACCCCAGTACACCAAAAATTGCAAATATATATGAAGACCTGAACTCTCACATAAATTGCATGTTCCAGTATTGGTCTGACATATTGTGACAGGATGATCACACAGGAAAAACACATTCAGTTAAATATGCTGTACTGAACTGGAAGCAGAAGGATGAACTGTCAGGTTTACTGCCTGCATGACTTGAGGCAGGTCACTTAACTTTTCAATGTCTGCATCTCCCAATTTGCAAAATTATTGTCACAACAACTATTTTGGATAGATGGGGGCTGTGGGATTTAATTAATAAACATTTGTAAAAGGTTTCGAAATACCAAGGGTAGATGCTTTATAGAAGTGCAAAACATAATGACTATTTTTTTTCATGGTCAAAGAAGTTAGTGAATAAATGATTTTTAGCCATGTTAGTCTGAAGTCAAGTAGAAGCAGGGTAGATTTGCACCTTACAAACTAAACAAAGTGGATCCATATATAGAGAGAAAGCATTTCTTATGTTAACTACATCTCTCTGTTCATAGATAGCACCACACTCAGCCAAATGAAATGGACTGCAGCCAGTCTACACAGGAAGTACTACATGTATATAGATCTGTTTGGTTAGTCTATAAAGTGCAGATATTCTCTGCCTTTTAGTTTTCAAGAATTCAATAACAGTCATGGAACTTATAACTTGGGCTCATTTTGAATTTTTTATTGAAGTAAATGGATAAGAGTTTTCCTTTCTGGTCTTCATGAATCAACATGCACAAAAACAACTGCCCAGGAGTTAACCTTCAGTATATAGTAATGAAGTAACATAAATTGTGCCTCTTGCATATCTGATAATGCAAGGGCTCTTTTCAGGCTTAATTACAAAGAACTTTAAAGGGATTTGATGTTGCAACATGCCCTGTGGCATAGACAGAGTATGCATGTCTTAGTTATTTGCTAATCACTCTGGAGTTTGGGTTTTATAAAGAGGTTAATAAAGTGTGTCTTAAGTTTGCCTATTTAAGAGTTTTGGGTATGCAAAATGCAGGCGGGAGGTGTTTGAAAGTGGGTGGAGCCTTATTACAGATTCTGACAATCTGCTCGCATACCTCCAGATGGCTTAATTAACCTTGAACAGGTCATGGCACAGTTTTAAAGAGACTTTTTCTTGGTAATAAGGCAAATGAGCTGTTTGTATGTGGCATACTTTTTGTTATTGTCCGCTGTTCACGGGTGTACTGGAAAGGAATTCCAAAAATGCTCTTTTCCCTGTGTCCTGTCTCTACCTGTCCTGTCCTAACAGATCAAATCCAACCTTTTTTATACATTTCTGTGAAATTCATCATGGAATTATTATGCTGGAGAGCAAGCATTACATCTGCACAACTTAGGAAGGAAAACAAACATTGAAATTTGAGGAGCTTTCAAAAAATGAAACATTGATTCTTATGCAGAAATTATAGTGCTTCATAATGCTTAATCCTTGTCCTCTAATGCTTGGAATCTGGAAGTGTTTTTTCTTTAGCCTAACAAGACAGTTTTCAATAAAAACTGAAAGCCAGCAGAGCATAAGCATGAAGCGTTGCCATATTTTTAATATGTTTCTAGGTGTACTTACAGGTGCTTTAATGTGCCTTTGTAGTGTTCCCTGAGGTTACGTTTCTCTCAATTAGATGCTGCTTTGTTTGAGCAGTTTAAGGTTTTGGGGCCACTACTGTCCTTGGCTCTTGTACGTGACTTCCGTTGTGGTGCGGATACTGAGAAGAATTTTGCCGTTGTGTTATAGGACTACACAGTGTAGTTGTACAGTTCTATCCTACCAAACAACCTGTGTGACCCTGGGCTCTTTACCTGAGGATGCTGACGACTTTTAAAAGGATTGGTCTGCATCCAATACTGCCTGTTTCTGGTTAGGACTTAGTGATGAAGTCACAAAAGTTTTTAAAGGGGTCACTCCATTTTGGAGAAAGAAGTTATTTTGGGACACTGAAACAAGCAAAAAAGCCTCTGGAGTTCTTTCAGTCTCTGAATGAACATGTGAGTAACTTACCTGAAATTTAGCCAGTAATTTAGGGTCATGTAACTATAGCCACATGTTACAAAGGGCCAACAAGCCCAGTCTGTTTGCTCAAGGCATTTTTTTCTTTCTGTACTCCTGTGTCATGTACTTCTTCCTCATCTTCTACCTCTGTAACCAACACAGCTATCTGTTATAGCATGCCTCACTGTGGATACTTAAGAGGGAAAGACTAGCCTTTACAGCTCCCTTTGCTTGGCTAGCTAACATGGGCATGGCTTTTTTACTTTCCTCCGGTACAGGAGGCTACTTGTGAACACTTCAGGCTAAAATAAGCACCCCAAAAGGTCACAGTGGATCCCCAAGGTTAACAGGGTATGTGGACACCAGGCTGCACAGAGCCCTAACAAAGACCAGGACCTGGGTGGTGGCAGCAGATACCCGAGACTTGAGGGTGTGCTTCAGGAAGGGGATTGGCCAGATGTAGGCGCCCTAGGGGAGACGACCAAAGTGTGGTTTTTGGTCGGGTGCAGTGAGGCAGGTGGCTCAGTGCAGGAGTGCCCCCTACTTGCCTGCCATAGAAGCAGAACTAAAAAAAAATGCAACCAAATCAATAGTAAGGCAGCAAGACATCTCGATTCTTTCTTTCTTTCTTTTCCCTTCTCCTGTTTTTGGATGATCATAGTGGAAAATGGCTTGTTATTTCAAATGTGGTTTCACTGTGTGAAGGACCCGTTGCCCAAAATAAGAATTGGCTTTCACATTTGAACATGGTGAAACCCTGGGAGTTTTCTCTTTTCAGGGTAAGAGAACTTCAGTGCTGAAAAAATCTGGAAAACTGCCATTTCTGAGCAGTTCTTGTTAAGACATTGCAGTTAAGAGTTTCATCTTCGTGTGTGTGTGTGTGTGTGTACGTACTTTTCCAGTAGCACCTGATGTTGGTCAAATGAAAGATGTCTTGAGTCTTAACATCCTGTATCTGCGTACCTACTGTTTTGCTTTGCCTGTATAATTAAATCTTAATAGCCAATTAATAGTTCCCACCTTAACCTTTTCAACAATGTCACCTTGCCTTTGTCTTGTGCTGGTACCAGACCCTTCAAGGTGAGGCTGCTGAAATGTTCTTCCTCCTCTGTGTATTCCTTCTGAGATGCAGGGGCAAGTGCAGTTCATACTCATGTGTTCCTCTG